ATGTACTGTATATATGTATTTGATTGGTTATTAAATAAAAAATTTTAAATTTTAAATTAGCAAAAATTGACCCGGCCAGGATATGAAAACCAAAAAATTTACTTTGCTTCGCCTTATTAAAATTTTTAGATTTTTTCTTTGTAGTACTTTTTTTTTTTTCTTGTAAATAGTTTATATTTAGAACTCAAATATATATACAAATTTATGTGATTCTAATTCTGATTACATAATTACAAGATAATCATATGAATATAAAAAAAAGTTTATAATTAATCAATCATTACTTATTAATTAAAATTTATTAGTGACGTTACTATATATTCAGATTATATTTATAAACCATAATAAGTTGTAATGAGCTAAATTGATTAGATGTAATTGTTTAATAGTATTTTATATAAGGTCGCAAAGAGAAAATCTTAATTTTATTTAATAAGATTTTTGTATTTTTTCTTTAGATATATTTTTTTACTAATAAATAGCATATATTTAGAACTTAAATATATATATATATAAATTAATATAACTCTAATTTCAATTATATAGTTATAAGATAATCATAAAAATATAATAAGAAATTTATTTTATAATAAATTGATCATCTTTTATTAGTACAAAAAATAGGATATTCTATAAAATAGGTAGGCAATATAAGAAATAAGCTTCACTAATGATTAGTAATCATTAATTTTTTAATATCAGAGTTGCAAAGTTGGTAGAGTTTGCTCACCTATTCTATAGAACATCCAAAAAATATTTTATAGTTATATTCTTGAGTTATAGTAATTAATTTTATTATCTTGCTTATCTTTATTTTAAATATATAATAAAATTATTAAAGAATCAATATTAAAACAATAAAATACTTTATAAATTCTAATCTTTGATAATTTTATTGATCAAATACTAGAAAATATTTGTTATCAAATTATATTAGTCTAACATTGTATTAATCTCTCTTTCAGAATTCCAATCTTTTTTATTATTACTTTTAGTATTATTATTCTGACCAATATTTTCTTCAAGAAATTCAAAATTAGTATCAATAATTATTTCACCCAAACTATCTATAAAATCAGTTATATCAAGATTTAATAACTCTTCAATTTTAAATAATTCTTTTTCTGGTAACATAAAATTATCTTGTATGTCTTTGTCATTCACAGATCTTTTTTCATCAATCAATTCTTTATCATAATCATTATTCTCATAGAAGTTTATATTGGATAATACTTCATGTATATCTTCAATATTAGAAGAAAAATAAGGCAATTCATTTTTTGAATTTGCAATATAAAAAACAGGACCCTAAGCAATCTATATAGGGGTAAGAGTTTTAAAAAATTATTAAAAATAGAAGGATCTGTATAAAAATGGTCAAAAATAAGTATATGTCTTACTTAAAATAGAAAGGATCTGCAAAAAATAGTCAAAAATAAGCAAATTATATTCTTACCTCTATATAGATTACTCTGGATCCTTAAAAAACAGTAAGTTTTTGTATATTCTTAATTTTGTCTAAAGAAAGATATATACGATATTTGTTATAATATTACTCTAAAGTAGACCAAATCCTTTCACACTCAGCTATGTAAGGGTTAGAGAGCATCCATAAATAATATTATATACCCCACATAGTAGCTCTTGACCCCCCCAGACTATATAAAAAAAAATTTAAAAATC